GTTCCCCCCGGTTATTCCCGGTTATTCCTGTTTTTCCCGGTTATTCCCGGTGTTCCTGGTTTCCCCCGGGTTATTCCCGTTTTTCCTGGTGTTCCCGGTTACCCCCAGTTATTCCCGTTGCTCCCGGTGTTCCCAGTTATTCCCGTTGTTCCCCCGTTATTCCCGTTGTTCCCGGTGTTCCCGTTATTCCCGTTGTTCCCCCCGGTTCCCCCCGTTGGTCCTGGTTCCCCCCGTTATTCCCATTATTCCCGGTTATTCCCATTATTCCCGTTGTTCCCCCCGGTTATTCCCATTGTTCCCCCCGGTTATTCCTGTTGTTCCCGTTGTTCCCATTATTCCCATTGTTCCCGGTTCCCCCCGTTGTTCCCGTTGCTCCCGTTGCTCCCGTTGTTCCTGGTTCCCCCCGTTATTCCCGTTGTTCCTGTTGTTCCCGTTGTTCCCGTTGTTCCCCTTATTCCCGGTTATTCCCGGTGTTCCCCCCGTTGTTCCCGGTTATTCCCGTTATTCCCGTTGTTCCCCCGGTTATTCCCGTTGCTCCCGTTGTTCCCGTTATTCCCGTTATTCCCGGTTATTCCCGTTATTCCCGTTGTTATTCCCGTTATTCCCGTTGCTCCCGTTATTCCGGTTATTCCCGTTATTCCCGGTTATTCCCCCCGTTATTCCCGTTGCTCCCGTTATTCCGGTTATTCCCGTTATTCCCGGTTATTCCCCCCGTTATTCCCGTTGTTCCCGTTATTCCCGTTGTTCCCGTTATTACTGTTGTTCCCGTTATTCCCGTTGTTCCCGTTATTCCCCCCGTTGCTCCCGTTATTCCCGTTGTTATTCCCGTTGTTCCCGTCATTCCCGTCATTCCCGTTATTCCCGTTGTTATTCCCGTTGTTATTCCCGGTTATTCCCGTTGTTCCCGTTATTCCCCCCGTCATTCCCGTTATTCCTGGTTATTCCCGTTATTCCCCCCGTCATTCCCGTTGTTCCCGTTATTCCCGTCATTCCGGTTATTCCCGTTATTCCCGTTGTTATTCCCGTCATTCCCGTTATTCCCGTTATTCCCGTCATTCCCATTATTCCCGGTTATTCCCGTTATTCCCGTTGTTATTCCCGTTGTTCCCGTTATTCCGGTTATTCCCGTTATTCCCGTTGTCATTCCCGTTATTCCCGTTGTTATTCCCGTTATTCCCGTTATTCCCGTTATTCCCGTTGTTATTCCCGTTATTCCCGT